CGCACCCAGGATCCGAACCAACGAAACACTGGGCCACCTGCAGCAGAGCGCACAAACTTAACCACTCGGCCACGGGGCCAGCCCCCTTTACATTCAAGTTTTACACTAAGTCTTCAAAATCTCATGCATATTATGCACTTAGAGTGTATCTCAATTCCAAAATGAAGTTTTCATCAGAAATATTTGATCTATGTTTATATTTCAGAAAATTTACATTTGAAAAAATTGATTCACATACCCAAGTTGTCTCAAACACATTTAAAGTTGTCCCATAACTGAATTGAGTATCAGTATTTTTATTTAAATTAATTAAAATTAAATGCCATTTAAAACTCAGTTCCTGGGTAGCACTAGCCATTTCAAGTGCTCAGCTACCACACATGGCCCTGTACTGGACAGTGCAGCCCTGCTGACCACAAACCATATGCTAACTGTGCATTCTAGAAATGTGTAATGGTGGCATAGCCCTTAAAGAACTAAATGAGAACAAAATAAAAAATATAGATTAAATTCTCTTACAATTATATAGGATTATTAAAATCTAAGAAAAATTGAAACATACTTTAGAATAGAAACCTACTTTGAAACCAAGAGCTCAGAACAATCAAAAACTAGACCACCACCAGGTTATAAAGCCACAGACACGGCCATCTGTCCTGAACATTCTGACGCACAATGTTCACCTAAGGGGGAATTTAATTCAAATATTAACAAGCATGAAGGGAGAAAAGGAGATTGAGTTGACAGGAATTTTTTTTCAAAGATATGTCAAAAGAACTACAGAATGCTCAAAGCACAGTGTATTGCAAGTGAAATGAGAATAGCATAAGGAAAACTAGAAACGTAATTATACCTCAAAATCAGAAACAAAGTCTTTGACCTAGACATAGGAAAACAGTTTAAAGTAGATAAATGTGGCAGTGACTAGAAAGCCGTCACTATGTGGTAACACAGAAACCAGTGGAATCACTGGGGAAATGGACCCTGGGTATTTTAAGAAGGAAATGAGACAATGCAAAACAAAGACTTATTTAAGAGTTAATCATAAAATTAGAGTAGATTCATTTCAATTTCCAAACTATTTTAAGCTGAATAGTTGGTAAAATGGGCACTCTTAACGGAAATTCATCATTTAGCCTGAAGCACAAAATTAGAACAATAACAGGTGTGTGTGTAAGAGAGGGAGAGAATGAGAAAGAGGGAGATATACGAATTGAATCGAACTACTGTAACCCCTAAGATTACTATATTAACAAAATGGAGTTGACAAGATTGACTTCTTAGTTTCCAAGCCACTGGCTTCCTAAATATACAATTTCTTGCGACAGCAACATGAGCAGCTAACTACCACTCTGAAAGGTGGGAGCAAACTCTTCCAAATCAGACCACGTGGCATCCCGGTGCAGAAGGAATTCAAAGGTCCCGCCTTTTTCTTTCAGCAGCTGAGAACTAACTCTAAACCTTACTAAAGCAAGGCCACGTCTCCATCTCAAAACTTGTTACTTAAAGAATATATAAATATATCCTTTCATATATATAGTCTATATATTCTATCATAAATAAACACTAAAACAAATGGAACTGTGACCCAAAAGGACCATCACCAATGAAGGCATTTTAACATCTTTCAAATTCAGCTTTTATCTGTCAAAACTTCCTGCACTCTGTTCAGGACCCAAAGCAAGTTTTGGTTCTCTGGTTACCCCAGACTCCCGTCGGGCATCCTCTCCAATGGGTAGACTTTATTGCCCTCCCCCCACGTACAAGCTGGATGGCCTCCTATGACTCTCATAGAACTCTGTGCTTCTCTCCACTGCGGTGCTCGTCACACATTAGTATAATTTCTTGTCTGCTTATTTATCTCTCTCACTGGACGATGAGTGCTCAAGAACACAAACTTTATCTTAATTATTTTTAATCCTCAGCATCTAAAATAACACCTAGACCATAACAAGACACTCAGAATTAATGAACGAATAAATGAATGAATGCAAGAACAGAAAATCAAATATTAGTATTCATATCTGTATTTTTAGAACCTAAAAAAAGTGATAGAAATATGACAGACAAGGAAGAAGCATTTTTTCCTTTAGACGATATTCTAGAAAGGACTATAAATTAATCATATTTACAAAGAAACTGAAATACCAGATTGAAACTTAGCTTCATATCTTTATCTACAATAATGTCAGAAATATAATAATGTCTTCACCAACAATGAATAAAACCAAAATCTGCATTAGATTTTCTAATACAAATCTTAAAACTTGGTCTTAGTCTCTTGAAGAGAAGACATTATTGAGAATTCAATTATAACTGCTTGTTTAAACCTAATAATTAACATATTTCCTTAAACATTTTGATTTATTATTAAATATGTACCATGGCTTAAAAATACCAGAGCTACTTTAAAAAAAAAATCTGTAAACATGATCAGCATAAATGTGCTGTAGTGAGAATTATGCCACAATATTAACAGTTTCCAACTGTTTTCCAAGAGTCTGAAGCAGTAATGTAAATTTCTTTCAATGAGGCTACAGTTTAATTTTTTCCAGGAAAATATTTTTAATAGGATTACTGACCCTTTTAACACTCTTTGAAAGAAAATGAATCCCATAAGCATTCTGGCATGTAACTATTATAAAAATAAATAGAACAGTCAATCAGTGGAAATGGTTATGGACTTGAGAAAGGAAACTTACTGAAGAAAGGTACATAAGTATGCATGGTGATAACCACTTTAACAGAGAAACGATTCCACCACACATCAGCAAAACAACCAACAACTAAGACAAAGGAAGGGCTAGGAAGAAATGGCTTTCATGTCTCCCTTAAAACAGAACTAACCACATTCACTTTGATCAATTCTGCAGGCTATCACTCAGCCTGTCCCTAATTCCTGTTTCCTTTTTCAGAAGGTATTTGAATGTTTTGGGGGAAAAAAGGATGCTTACTGATTTAAGACACATTTTTGCACTCAACGTTGTGTGCTTTAAGAGGAATTTTTTCAGGTCATTAGTTTATAATGTGAACTGGCACCTATGGATATTTTGAAAGGAAAACAAAAACTAGTGTGCTTGGAGAGCAGTTTATGTGACTTGCGTCATCATTTATTTCAGTTCAATTTGGGGCCCAAATTGAACTCAAAATGCAGTCACCACATCTGCAACAGTTTCTTTCTCAGCATGTAATGATCACACAGAAATCTGAAATAGAATAGACCCTTTATCCCAAAAACAAAAACATCATAAGCTCCTTAAAATATCAAAGTCCTTGTAAGAAGTTTTTACTTTTCCAGAGTACAAAAATAAAGTTAGCCTTACAAATAATTCCCCAAATAATCTGAATAACCAAAATGCCACAGGCATACCAAAATGCATTAATTCTGCCAGTTTTACTCTGGTTTCCACACCCCGCCCCGGCCATTCATACTGCCATGTTTGGGTCCAGAAAACAAGAGACTAAATCATTAGGCTCAGGGAAAGCAAGCATCCTCCTAACCCCAGATTCATAGACCAAAAGATGATGTGGCCGTAATCAGGATTAATTTGATCCACATATCATGTCAAAATAGATCATTCACAGCCCCACAGTTCACTAGATATTTCCTAAATTCTCCATTTCCCTTAAGTGTAAACAAAACCACAGTCCACGATGCGTAAGTGTAAACAAAACAGACACCAATATTCTAACCACCTCCACAATAAAAGAAACGGGTCAGAATCTGCTTCCTTGTCTCCATAACCACTCTTCTTTCACCCTTGTTGAGGACATAGGAATCATTTCTTAGATCATGAAGGCAGGGATCGTGAGAGTGGCATGACTGTGGACATCAGGAAACCCCCTGTTCTCAGTCTTGGGTGCACGTTAGAGCCACTAGGGGAATCTTTACAGAATATGAATCCCGGGCCCCGGCTAGGCGCTGGAGGGGCCCTGCTACCAACAAGCTCTAAAAGCTCCTCAGATGAGTCCAACGTGCAGGTACTTGGAGAACCAACGGTCTCACAAATGTGGCTCAACGACGCAGCAAGGACCAAGGCCGAGAGCAAGCCGAGGGCAGTCTGAAGCAGAACCTAGAGCAAAGAATACAAACTCGAGTGCAGACACAAGACACTCAAGTGAATGCAGCAGCAAGATGTACACACATTTTTAGATTATGTGAGTGGCAGAGAGTGTGACGAGCTAGGAAGCTCACCAGGCTCCTGAGCTCTAGCTGATACTGCCATGAGGGAAATTAAAATAGACAACAGATCTTCTCACCTAATCAGAAAAATACACAAATCAAGATTTTTATGTAAAATTTCCCAACTTTTAAATGTTGGCTCAACTTAAAAAACAACAGTAACAATACTGCATGAAGCAAGCAAAACACATCATGAAATACGCAACACAGGTTTGGCCTATGGGCTTCAGTGTATCACTTCCATCTAGCAGGTTGTGTCCATTCCACAGAAACCATAGCATCATCATCATCACAATAACAACAATAACAATACCCAGCTTTCATTAAGTACTGATGTGTCAGCCACTATGCTAAGGGTTTTACATGGGTTATCTCAATTAACCTTCATCAACCTTTTAGCTTCCCTTTTACTCAATAAACCAAGGGCACATAGCCAGAAAGTGGCGATGCCAAGATCCAAATGTGTACCTATAGTATGCTATATTGCTTAAAAGTTTTAAATATGTTTTTAAAAACCTCCACTCTTTGCGCTTGCATTTCTTCAAAAATAAAGTGAAGGAAATATACTAAATGACTTCTCAGATCATTTTTAGTTCTCAAATTCAACAGTTCTGATTCCATAAGACAATCCTTGGGGTATAAAAATGTTGGTATTTACATGTATCAGTCACGAATGCCCTGATAAGGTTTATCTGATCAAAGAGATGAAACAAATGAATGGTCACTACCCAGTCTTTCTAAAAAGGCAGCAAAGACATAAAATTATAATAAAATTCTTTATCTCTACTGCCATAGAAAGTTCACCACTCCATTTTACCTTTGGAAAGATGAGGAAACGTGCTCAGAAATTCTTCATATGTCTGCTCGTGACAATTAACAAACTTATCCAAGACTTCTTCAATTAATCCATCTTCATCCATGATCTGCAATTCTGATATTTGGGAGGGCATTCCTATTCACAAGGCCACTTTATCTGTGAAACAAAGAAAAGCATGAGCTAGAGAGTCGCACAACTCCAGCTTCTCTGAAAATACTCTAGAAGGGCAGGTGGAAGAATTCCAGGGTTCCAAAAGAATAACAGATCAGGAGAGTTACTACAGCAATCCACTCTAGTTCAAGAGACTGGAGTTGATTCATGTCTTGGCTGCTGAATTGTTAACCATCGCAATTTTATTTTTGCTTCAGTTTCCTCACTTCCATCTTGTTAACTCACAGGAATATCGTCACACAATTACACAATTAGAAATTCAGTCTTTCAAGATGAGATGAACTTCAAAGAGTGTTTCAACCAACCACCCATCCAATGACAACAACAATAGTAGCCAACATTTATTAGCTACTTATTTAGCACTTACCATACCAGGTGCTGTTCTGAGCACTTTAATGATAACTTCATAACAGTCCTAGCTCAGGTCACAGGGCCAGTAAGTAGAAGTACCAGTTCCAGAAGTCTGGTCCTAGAACGCGCGCCCTTCAACACGTCACTATGCTTCAGTCTACCCACTGTGTGACAGCCCGCCCCCTGTAATATGGCTCTACTGCTGCCAAACAGCTGACTCGTCAGTGCTTTAACACAGCCAGAGATGGGAACTCTGACCATTCCGAAGGCGCCTTTGGACAGCTCTATTAAAGACTCCTCCTGAAAAACTGAGCTTAACTCTGTCCCTCTGTACTATACTCCAACTGATCCCTGACCCCTGGGATTGTACTGAATAATTTCAGCCCTTCTTGTACATAACATCTTTTCAAATATTTGAATAAGGCTATACTGTCCTTTCTCAATCTTCTCAATTCATTCACTTAAACTTCTTTTTCAAAACCCAGCTCAGAATTCAGTTTCTCTCTGAAGGCTTTAGCCCTCCATCTCCCATCACCACAGAAAGAGCTAATCCTACGCCCTCCGGACTGCCTCTGTGCTACGTCTACTGTTACACTAATCACCTTGTATTGGAAATAGTTGTGTACATTTCTGTGTTCTCTATTAGACCTGGGGCCCATGAAAGCCTGGGTCCACATCTTCTCATCTTTGTATCCCGAATGTTTGATAGCTCAGGATGTGGCATAGAACTGGCAGTCAAACAACATCAAGCTAAAATTACTCATTTGAGCAGGTACTATAGCCAAATATTGCTAGAAGCTAGCAAAACACCCAACTCAACTTGCCCAGTTACTCCCCTGTGCCTTACAGGACACAGCTTCAAGTCCTTTCACTCTCCTGATCAAGCTACCTGGGAAAGAGCTTCCTGCATCCCTTTAAAATACGCCGTCCAGAAATGGAAACAAGACTCCAGATATGGTCTGCATGCAGTGAAATGCGACTGACCCTCACATTCTAAATATCGTACGCCTGCCATCTGCTGAAAATCGCGATCACATTGCTGGTGGCCCTTCACGTTGTCATTCATTTAACACACTGCCAACTAAACGCCTGGGTGCCAAGACACAATGCCTCAGTCCTTGCACAGTCTGAACTTTGTTTCTACCTGTGGTTTTCACCTTGTTAAATTCCATTCATTCTGTATGAAATATGATTCTTACACAGCTTTGAGAAAATGAACTATCTACAAAAAGCAGAAGAGTAACTCGTGCCTAAGTAGCCAGTGTAATTCGTGGGGGATAATACGGAGGGTTCTGCAATACTGTACAGCAGGAAGAAAAACCACCAAGCTGCTCCTACTTTTCTGAAACAAGAGTAAAACTCTGCTACCTGTTGTTAACTTTATTTGGTATTTACCAAAAAGTTCAGAAAAAAACAAAAATGTTTTCATAAGATGGTACCCAAACTCATTTGGTGGCAAGACTTGATCTGAATTAACATGAAGTATTTATGACTTTTATTTATTCTACTCAGTATGATCATTCCTTTGTGTCCCTGCAGAAATACTACTGGGCTTGCTCTTGAGGCGTTTTCCCAGACCTCACTGGAAATTTTGTGTAATTTGTGGCATTTGCCCTGATTACCTTTCTAAACTCCAAAAACTTCTGAATTCGGAAACACATCTGACCCCAATGGTTTTAAATAAGGAATTGTGAAGCTACACGTGCCTCACAGGATTGCTATGAGGATTAAATGAGGTTACGTGGGACCTCAGGAAATGTTAGCCACAATGATGACAATGATGATAATGGATCGTCTTAGCATTCTGTCCTTTGCCTACACAAAGACCTGTTATAACTGTGACCCCTCTTATTTTGAAGGTACTGACATTACCTAAAGATAAATCAAGATAGTTTGTCACGTGTTACCACCCTAGATAAAACATAGTGTTGTAGAAGACCAAGTAAAAATAAAAAGTGTAGCTGTGCACCAACTCAAAATGAAAGTAACTGTTTCAAGCTATTTGTACCTGAAAATTAGATATAGGAAAGAGCATCAGTTATGGTTTATACAAATTTACCTGTAACACTGGCAGGCTTCAGTAATCCAAAGTTTAATAAATCATGCTTGCAGTTGCTAGCTAATAAATAATGATAAATTCAAAGGTGGCTATTATGTCACTATCAGTAGAACATGTACTTAATTACAAGAATGTCAATGTCAATCTGCTTTTCATGTGGTTATCGCAGTACAGAAGAGGGTATGTTTTTACTGACTTTTTTAAGACTTTTGGAAAATCTAGTTTCACAAACTCATTATTTGAAGAGTTTAACAAATCCACCTTCAAATGCAGAACTTTCCTTATCTATAAAAATACAAACAGCCTAATGATAAAAGTCCCCAGGGACTGACAGAGCAGACAATCATTCACCAGACAGTCAAGTGGTTTATGCAAATCCTAGTGGTTTTCTAGAAGGAAGCAATGCTTTTTCAGTTACCATTCACACCATTCACATACTTTGTGTTTTTATCAGGAAGTTTTTTTGAGGAAGGGGACAGTTGCCTGGCTAACAAGATTCTTTGTTTTGGTTTGGTTTTTATGTTTTAAAGTGTAGAGCTCCACATGAAAGACCCAGAACATATTATGATGATACATAAATGTGTATGAACATCTAGCAGTAAATCATAAGCAACACTTTCACCATCACAGCCGCCAGCAGTAAACACAGGGAGGAAGTGTTGCTCTGCTAAATTTCTCCTGAAGACCCAGGCTTGGTTAGGAAGAGGGCTCTCTTCTTACTGAGTCACTGAGAATGAGGGAAAATCACAGAATCTTCCCAGAGTCTTATTTTCTATCAAATAATAAAACTAATAACTACCCAAGCCAGTTAGCGTTGGGTGCTCTCGGAAAGGACATTATTCTGAAACGTAGTATCTGGAATTACTACCATCGAATTGATTCAGCACATCTTTGATGTCTTCAGATCCCTGCTTAATGCAACTACTGAAACAAAATGCAACTTTCAGACAAGAGTGGTAAGCCTTCAGAAACAAATCAGCAGCAGCTAGTCTCCTCTCAAAGTGCATAACCTGCTTTTCAACAGCAGAGAATTGTAGGTCTGCAAAAAAAAGTTGTTTTAAAAAACTGGGGAGGAGGATTGGCACAGATGTTAGTTCAGGGCTAATCTTCCTCAGCAAAAAAAAAAAAAAAACCCTGTGAGGATTGCCACTGATACTTAAAAATGATAAGTAATAACACATTTTTAAAGAGTTGTGCAGGCGCTACCAAAGCCCACTTTCTCAAATTTTCATAGTTCTGCTCAACAAGAATCTCCTGCTGAGCTGAAAGGTAAAATGGTACATTATGGTACAAAAGAATTCACCTAGGGGACGGCCCCTTGGCCGAGTGGTTAAGTTTGCACACTCTGCTTCAGCGGCCCAGTGTTTCGCTGGTTCGTATCCTGGGCATGGACATGGCACTGCTCATCAAGCCACACTAAGGTGGCATCCCACATGCCACAACTAGAAGGACCCACAACTAAGAATATACAACTATGTACCAGGGGGCTTTGGGGAGAAAAAGGGAAAATAAAATCTTTAAAAATAATAAAATAATTCACCTAGCCTAAGGAAATGAAACCATCAACCTTGGGACATGACAAGATGGGTCGCTTTTTAAAATATTTTGGAAAATGGGCAAATCCCAAAAAGACCAAATTACATTATAAGGGTACAGATTTATTTATATGACAGAAGGGACCCGGAGTGAACTGATGTCTTCTGCTTTGACTGAACTACAACTATTCTCCATCCTATATTTTTTACATCTTTTAGATCATATCAAGAAGACAGAACGAAATCCAGTGACAGAAATTGCCACAGAGTCTCAGAGTTGAGAGAAACCTGAAGGTCCTCTGGTCTAATCATAGAGAATAAACGGATGAATCTGGGAAATAAACTTTGGTGAGGTTTTGTCAACTAATGACTCTATTGAGCAGTATTATGTGGTTCTCATATCATAAACAATAATGATGCTCATAATTATGATTTTTAAGGCATACATGAAGTCAGCAGGAAATTAAGCAAAAAGCAGCATCCGTGCCCTGGATGGGTGTATCCATGCCTCCAATTCTGACTACACTCTGACCCCAGCATCATACAAAACACCTTGAAGCAAAATACATATTTATGTACACACACACACATATACATATGCAGATATACATATACGCTGCTGTTTTAGGCACCTACCCATCGCAACAAGAAAACAAAGGAAGAGATAAAAGGAACAGAGAGAAGCAGAACTACAAAACTTATCTTACAAGATAGAAACAAATCTAAACTCCTTTACTGTTTTTTATCAGGATGAAATAAAAACATACAATTCTAGCATCAAAGAATACACCGCACTTCAAGTTATAACCTTCTCCCAACAAGCCTTTCCTAACACTTAAAAGGCATAGAATTCTCCATTATCACCAACAAAGTTAACAATACAAACATCTAGACTTCTATATAAATTCCCCTAGGTACAGCCCCTCTGCAGTGAATATTAAAGGGAGCATTCGGCGGGCAGCAGGAAAAGCTTGAGATGCCTGTTGACTACAGAACTTTAGAAGAGAGAGGTTGCACGTCATCTACGCAAAGGTCTTAGA